ATCACCTTTCCTTTAAATCAGCTGCTTTGGCCCCTAAATGGTTTGGTGAAGTTAATCTCGACGCTCAGAAAAAGATCCCACACATAGCCCGAAGCTATGGAAAAACCAATGTCAAGATTCATTAGAGCTGCGGAGGATAAGCGCCTTGGGGTAAACACTCAATCTTCATTCTTAACAAGGGCCGCAACATTAGAACTTTTGTAAATTAAAAACGTTCACTTACCTGATAGAAAAGTGTCCGCTAAGGCGAGAAATGTTAAATAAATCAAACTTGACGATCGATAACGTCTATTTCGTACGAGTATACAGAAGAGGAACATATTGAAGACGACGGAGATTGAAGCAATGATAGCTCCAGCCACACCAACAAGGAATAGCCTTAAAAAAGTCTTTCACATAGCCGATAGGTGTCTCATATCTTAGTTGTGTTTGAGTCCTTTATATTATCAGGATTGTCCTTCAAATTAAGGAGTTTTCCGTTCTTGAAGTTCAACTATAAAATATTGGGCAAAGTTATATGGATTTTCAGTTGAAATAAAACAACACCAAATTAGGCTAAAAACTGAAATTTTATAATCTATATTTTATATTGATATTTCGAAAGAAAAATCTTGTTTAACGAACTTTTGAAGGCTGCGAATGATCAAGTTGATGTAGACGCACAATACTCACCTTACCGTAATCCCCTTAGCGAAGGATCACGGTAGCTTTACCGCACACCTGCTGGTGCACCATAAACCTAACTGCTCCAAGGGAAGCAGATAGATGTTTGTTTTCAGACTTATTTTCTCCCCAAAATAGCTTTCTCTGCCGCGAATGATGTATAGCGCGTTAACGACATATCCTACGAACTACTCTTAGCATCATCATTAAGGTCGTGTGAATATTCCAGAACACTCGCAAATTCTGATTCTTAACCTTTCTTGCATTACTCTCCTTCCATGGAACTCCTCAAATCTATAATCTTTGCGCTATGACTTTAGTAATGTCTCATCAGAGGCCTAAAGGCTCTTCTGCTACAGAGACATTTGAATTGAGAGCTCAACTTTCTTATGAGACAAACGGAGTGCGTTGACGTTTGATTTCACAATAAAGTAGCACATGAGAAGTAGGTCCTAAATCATAGGAAAATTATGTCAGTCAATGACTAAACCTTGCCGTAATCAAAGTGCTGTTCTAGCCTTAACCCTTCTCGAATCGTAAGGAGGTTTTGAGGCTTTCCTTGCAAGCTCAAATCGCTTTTTTACCCTGCACAGCTAATTTCAGATGAAAATCTCAATTACATATTTGCAAGAGAAAAATTCAAACTCAGAGATATGGTAAAGAAATTAGTTACAATATTAAAGGGGATGCAATGGGCAACTTGAGGGAATTTTGTGGAAAAAAAACTTTTAGAGCAATGTGAGGGTTTTAAAATTTAAATTGCCTGCTTCATTGCTAATAACTTTCGGTTTGCAATCCTTTCTAGGTTTTTATTGTGTTTTAATAAGCGCAGTATAATTTGGATGTCCATAATTAGAAACCTATCGGGCTACTATATTCCTACGGTAAAAAAAATCGGCTTAG